AACGGATCGGGCGATCGTTCCGTCTTCTCTTCGCCTCATGCTGATGTCGAAGAAATTCAGTGTGTTGTTGGCTTCGGATTCCATTGTGAAACGAATATTTGGATGTAATCTATTAAGTTCATCCAAAATTACTGTAGCTTCTTCTAGGCTTTCTGTTATCACAAGGGTGTCGTCGACGTATNCATTCTAGAATGTTATTTGCCTTCTGTTCGAGATGTGCCATAAACAGGTCTGCCAGGACCGGGCCTAACGGGCTTCCCATAGCGACACCATCAATTTGCCTGTACGCATTTCCATTAAACGTGAAAGACACAGTGGTCGTGCAGAGTAGTAATAAACGCTCAAGCACTGGCATTGGTAGATTCACTCGGATTTGATTATTCTCTATATGATCGCAAATGATGTTTACGATTTCACGAACTGGTACATTGGTAAATAGGAATTGGACATCGAATGAAGCCATGTGTTTTCCTTTGACGTTTATCTTGTCCAGAACGTCGACCAATTCGAAACTGTCCTTGACGGTATGTTTCACTATTGATCTGTGGACTGGTTCTAACACATTGACCAGCCATTGGGCCATTTTGTACTGTGATGAGTTCGTCATGGACAGGATTGGCCTGAGTGGTGAGCCAGGTTTATGGAGTTTTGGATTTTGGTTTTGTGCTTTTAGTCATAAGTAACTAGCTTTAGCACAAGGATGAGTTGTTTTCGAGGTTATTGGTGACCATGACCAACCACGTGCACAATCTCTTAATCAAATCAATATTCCAATCCCACGATTCGAACTGGTCGGATTCGAGGTTAAGAGCAGACAGAAGCGGCAAGTCATAGATGTCCTATGAAAGCGGCAGATATCGAGACACGCGTCTAAGGAGGAAATAGACGACATAACAGACCTGTCCGTGTACAGTGCAGTTTATGAGTTCGTGAACAACAGACAGCAAGCATGTAACTATGCAATGAATCCACTGATCCGGACTAGCCAGTGTTGATACATTTGCCGAGAATTAGTTTTTTAGCGCAACGATATAGGCCATAGCAAGCCTTTTGAGAACAGAGCGAAAGTAGATGGGTGGTGTCAGCCGAGTATAGGCGAACAACATTGAAAGACCCCTGGTATCATCCGGTGCGGTTGTATGACCAGGTTCAATCGAGTATCCAGTTATTTTTACCACTCTGGTTTTCACGCCACTTTGTGTGAACCACCTGCGTGGGGGAGGGGGGTATTCTGCAATGCGATACAGACAGACTTCTTGTGGTTCAGACCTCACAGAGATTTTGCATACAAGCGCGTGTGCTAACAGATATGAACTGAAGTTATTCAGATTGTAACAGAATAACTAGTTCAGAGGTGAATGTGACAAAGTAGGCATCCAGTGTACATCACAAAACCGATCGAGCGCGGTTTATACCTAAGGGATGAAATATCTGTTCACTCAGTTCGGTTCAGTTTGTACAACCATTAACCATGCACTTTCGTGCGCCGGTTGTGGCGGATGTCTTTTGGTTGCCCATTTGGATAAAACAACAGAAGGGAGATTAGAATGTTGACAGCAGGTTCAAGCGGAAGATAACGCATTTGCACAGACTGAAGTTACAAGAATAATGAGTAGATGCATGAACGCCACTGTTTGCGACACCCAGCCATACCGCTCAGGGTCTTTAACCATCGGTGACCATGATCTCGAGGTCCCCAGTCAGGGAGCCTAACGGGACCTATGTGACCCAGTCTCCTGGTCAGGGTTTTCATACCTCCATGCCGGGTCTTCGTTTGACCGCCCTTCATCTTTTTCCAATCGCTACCTGCCTCGGCAAACATCGCTCGTTGTGGCAACCTATCTGGTGACATGCGTAGCACATATCTCAACCAGCGTAATCGATGAAGGTCGACCACTTGTTCCAGTGGACTACAGACACTAACACATCGGTATCTACTTTTGCAATTGATTTTGGTTGTTGGATCAAAGTGCTTGTTCAACAGATATTTGCTCATTCCACGAACAAAATTTCGTATGGTTCCAAACTTTCTAGAATGACAAAGCACAAGGTAAAGGAGAGAGAAAATGCCGATGAGATGAGAATTCATCCGACAGCTCGAGTAACATGATACACCATTAAAGTCCGTAATGACAATGACAACGAAATGGGATATATATGTATGTACATGTGATGTAACTCAGTTCCGGNNNGGGGGGGGGGGGTTCCAGTGTGATTTTCGTGCTACCATACAGTTAAACAGATCAATATACACTTACATGCTTTCGGAATCCGAGCAAGGCACCGACAAAACACAGGGGCAAACTAACACATAACCACAGGGCGAGCAGAGCCACAATTGTCCCGAAAGGCATGGCAGTCGCACTGCCCAAAATCCACAAGGCCAAATTCAGAATGAAAAACATGATAAACACCACACCTGGACAGAATGTGGCGGTCAGGAACACGTTTGCTTTCCAGCGCAGTCCGCCAATAAATTTGTACATTCGCGCGGATACAAAGCCTGTGAGAAAGAAAGAGAAATGTCGTAAACTGAAACATTCTTTCGTGTCACACACCGAGGATCTATACATGTCTGACTGGGAACGCGTCAAAAAGCCTGCAATTGGACAGACCGACAAATGTCATACGGTTTATGAACAGTAGAGTAGGTGAATAATCGGTACGCTATTTTCCACTAATGCCAGTTGTTTCTTAATGTACACACTTATTGCCGCCTCAGTTTGAAAACAAAATATCGTACCGTCCAATAGCTTAACAAGCTTTCTGAGCGAAGCAGAACAATTTTACAATGACACCAAATTCATTGGATATCTATTAGTGACGATTCTTGACAAGGACGAAGTGGTTGAACAGTGAACAGATGATCGTCATAGAGAACACTCCTTCGAGAGTGATGGTCTGTTACCACAAACCTTTACAAATAGCATGATCAAACGAGCACGGTGTCTGATTCAGTGGTGATATTCCAGCTTCATTACCACAACGAAGATCATTGAAACGGAAATTGGCTGTGATAGTCCTGTTGCAGACAGATGTTTCGAACACGTAAACTCAGTACACACGACGACCAAATGTTTACGGCTGAGCCCTAGAAATGATTTCACCGCTATTTGGTTACAACTGTCTACTTCGTATGACCTAAAAACAACTGCATCAATACCTAGCTTTTCAGATTACGTTTTGTTTATTTTTTATAACACACCTTAGTGTGATAAACAGCAGAGGGGGAGAGCTCCCTTTGTCACGAGGACCTGCTGTTCAGTGGTGGAAACCAGTAACCTAAGCCCCGGGACTTGGTGGCCAACCACATGAGGTCCCGATAGGTTAGGTGTGGTATTGAACCGGACGACAGCAAAGCTGTCTATCACCAAATTGAGTGGCAGGGCTTGAATCTCGGACTATAGGGTGCAAAGCACGCCGGTGGCAGCGACTAAATCACTGCGCCAATATCACCACAAATTTGTATTGTACACAACAGAATCAACTGCATAACTCCATACCAACAGTTGAAGGGCATTTTCTCATAGTTTGTCCATGACCAAACAGAAGGGAAATGGCGGATTGGGATACACTTAAACAGACCGCTTATTCATCACAGTCTCCTTGGTCAACCGGAATTGCGCCACTGTGGTCAATCCCCTACAGGTTTGCGTAATACAGTCTCTTACGTCCAGAAAAAAACTAAGATCGTTGTTCGGCGATTAATGTGATGTAAAGTGAACACGATGCGATCTGATTCGTATAGCTGTGGCCTTGTCTACTCAGATAGTTGAGGTTTCCGGTAGCAGAAAAATCACAATACGACTAGATCTTGATGGGGCTTTCGAATTCGGCCGTGCCGTGTTACGATTGGATTTTATTTCACGATTTGATAGTAACAAACGGTGTGATTTTCTCGACTTACACCACTTAATCAATTTATTTAACCTTCAGAGTCAAATGTCATCATCCTACGGCGGGACAATTTTTTGATATCCCCTGTGTATCATTGCGCGTTCAAATCAGTTTTTGTCTTTTGCGCACTGCATAAGAAATCGCTACAACCGAGTGAGGAAGAATGGACAAGGACTGCAAAAAAAAGCATCATGGTACCTGGAGGGTCGATTTCAGATGGTGTTTCATCAATGGACTGACTGTTCCTATTATTATTTCCAGCAACATTCTCAGACTTGAGGAAAATTGATGATAGCAAGAGCGTAGCACGTGAAGAAATTGAGCCCACTCTGTTCCCGGAAACTTGGTGACAACCTAACATTAAGAACGACGTTGTCCGGCTGGATGGGGTTGATGTTTTTCGTGGTGGTCGCAATACAGTACAACCCCAGTACAGTGTTGACGTCTATCTGTGTCGGAATTTGATATCAAACAGGAACAACTGGTAGCCAGCATGAAGTAAATGCAATTGATCACCGTAACACGTTCTCTGAAGGGGTAGAGTATTACAACCTTCCGGAGGGAGCTCTTATACGCTCTATTTTCCAACCGGCTATCGCGAGTATATCTCGCTTAATTCAGAAAGCTGATTCAAAAATCCCCTTTTTGTTTATCTGAACTGCATCTAGTCTATCTTTTTTATTACACACCTAAGTGTGATGAACATCACACGATGTGAGCCCCATAGTGACAAGGATCTGCTGTTCAATCATGGAAACCGGTAACCTAAGCCCCGCCTGGTTAAGCGTGGTATTGAACCGGACAACAGAAAAGCTGCCTACAACCAAAGTTGGATGGCGTGGGAGGGGTTCGAATTTCGGATCACAGGGTCCAAAGCACACCGGTGACAGCGACTAAATCACTGCTGATAGAGATGATACACAGAGAATACTGAAAGCATTTTTCAGTGTATATCGTAATTTTGCCCAGGAGTTCGTTAGACATAATCACGGTTTAGGAGGATGCGAAAGACGAGGAAACTTCTGCTTCACGATTACACAATCGCAACGAAATGATGATTTATTGATGTGCGCAGAAAGTAACCCGAGAAGTGTGCTGTTATAACGGCGGGTAGGTCTACGGGGCCAGGTCATCGGAGTTCGACCTTAAAGATGCGGAAGATGACTCGCTTGAGCGCCTCCCGAACATCATCATCATTGTACAGCGTAATACAGTGAAGCGAACTTCCCTAATCGCTGCAAATTCATATTGCATACAAGGTACATGATAATGTGTAAAGAGGACAGGGATTGGATCTATTCTTAGGGACGGGAAAAATAAGTGAACCTCTATGGTCAACACACAGAGTAAACAGTCCCGCTGTGCATACATATTATTTCAAGCATTCTGGTGTGATAAGAAGTGACAGCATGATCGCCATTGCTGTCGGTTCGCGGCCACGATCTTCAGTGTCTCCAACCATGCGGTTTCGGAGTCTTTTGGACCCCAACCCGGAAGACGAGAGACATCTACTCTACCTAATTGCTCTGTACATTTTTTATGCCTCGTCTCCACGTCATTTGCTGACTTCCACTTGGCTTTCTCCAGCCACTGCGAGTAAGGCGCGCTGCGGTAGGCGACCGTCGGACATACGCAACGCGTGTCCTAACCAACGAAGCCCATTGAGCTGGATTCGATGCGATGGCGAATTTTTGTTTGAGGTATTCCTAAACACCCGACGACTTACTTCTAAGTTACTAAACCGCTCAATCCATCCCACTTGGGCCAGACCACGTAGGCATCGATTGTCGAACACTGCCAAAGGACGGATTTCTTCTACCCACAAGTTCAAGGTCTCACAACCGTACAGCAGAACAGATCGTACAATGGCGCAGTATACGCGACTTCTCAACTTCAGGGAAACGTTACGTCGCCCCCACAGGTGTTTAAGTTCGCGCATGCTGCTCGAGCCTTGGAAATGGGGGTGGTTATCTCCTTTGATGCGCTACCGTCGTTGGTCACGCAGCTACCCAAGTATGAGAAGCAGTCAACTACAGCTAATTCCTGACCGTCTAGTTTCAGAACGGAACTTGACGAAACCCAGTCTTGTAGCATCACTTTGCACTTTGAAGGTGCAAGGCATATACCGAACAGAGCGACAGAACTTGCTAATCTGTCAATCGCTATTTGCGCATCCTCCATAGATTCGAACAGGCAAACGATGTCGTCAGCGTACTCCAAATCGCACAGCTTGTCTCCGGCTGGCCCATTCAATACCTTGAACGCCCCATACAAATTTGCAGATTGCTATGGGAATGGAAATGACAAGGGAGACCAATTTTACCTGCTAAAATTCCCGAACACGCATACATGGCCAGAGCACAAGTCATCAGGCCACCCCGGTTGGCCGGACTGAGAAATCCGAGACAGGCGAAGAACAAAGTGACCAGGACCATAAGAAACAGCTGACTGCCAGAACCGAGGAGGACACAGAGTAGCATACCCCAAGCGGGCGGACGGAACACGTCTCCGTGGACCAACTTCCAGCCGGATTCTTCTTGTACCTCCGACTGTGTGGAGCACGACGAGAAAATGCAACCATGAGTGATAGGGAAAAATCAAGTAGAAATACAGGGTGATGATCAAGAGAGAAAAAACGTGAAGTGTTCGTACGTTTTGATCTATACATTTCAAATCAAGTCAAGTCAAGTATTTGCTTAATCGGTTGTTTCACACGAAACCTTGACAATGCACAAACCTCATCTATTTTGACTGAACATACTTCAAATTTCATGCTGATACAATCCGCCGTTCATCTAGTCAATTTAAAAATTCGGAGGCACTGGTATCCCGTGTTACTCTCGTGATGCATCGACCGTGGTTGAATGCGACATCTGGACGCATTTAAATGGGTTATTTTGATCATCACCGATATGTTATGTGATACGAGGGCTGAGCAAGACATTTCCTCTTACGCAATTTACGAACGATGTGCAGATGACTGAGCAAGGAAAACGTGAACTGTAATCTATTGTGAATATTGTTCCGTGATCGAAACTCACACAGAACCAAATATCAACAGTTGAGCACGGCACAAACGGTCGTTGTACTCGGGCTGTGAGAATGGAACTTAGGAAATGTCACTAGAGGGTGATGATTTGCTACAACCACAAATATGGTTTAAAGCAGCAATAGTAGTAGCGGTGTTGATCGTTCGCGAGCTGCCATTGGTGATGACGCGCCTCCAAGAAGCATCGTATTTCCAAATGTCAAGCGCATGATGCGTGGAATCCGATACGAGTCACCAGCAGCTTCAGTGGAGGCCTTCATTGCACTAGTCGAAGGGTTACCCGCCTCGGCATGGTCGAGAAGTTTCACCAAATGGTTTGGGCGCATGCAACTGTGCATGAACCCTCGTATACAATTTAGATTACATATATAACACATCATATCGAGGAAGACAAAAATCAGCCATTCAAATTAGTTCACATGACACATTCAACCACGGTCAGGTAGTTTAGCTAGCCCAAAAGCAATGAAGAGAGACCAACTGGATAATAACTCCAACTCAGCGTTACAACAAATCAGGTCTTCTATGCAGGTTCGGTTGTATGTACGCAATTAAGCATGCTAGGCTAGATCTTAATCCATATTTAACTCGGAATTATTGGGTTTTGACTGTGAGGCAGCAGATTTACGTGAGGGGAGGGGAGAACTAGAAAGCAAGTATTTAAAATTTATGACGCCATAAAATTTTATCGTAATATTGACATAATTGACTTCAAAATTGAGTCTTGACAGTACAGAAAGATTCTGAGCCAATCCGAATTGAACCGTTCGAACATTCCACTGACACTGCATCACGTGTTACAAATACAGAACGTGTATATTAAGATATTAGAGCATTAATGAAATCGAGAGTAGATACATTTTAACGGGAAGGAAATTTGATGAGGACTATCCTAAAT